GTGAAGGAGTGGTGGGGATGGTTGTTGGAGAAAGTTAACTACTAGCCTTAAAGTTAACTATCGTTAACAGAGGCGGGGAGACGTTGTAGGGCTGTCCTCGCGCATTGGTGGCAAGTTATAATCCTTCAACTCTGCTCTAAGTCCGCCTGACTGATGGACGCCCGTAATCTCACCGGCCAAATTCCACTTCTTAATGCCTTCCATTGCCGCCTTTATACCACTGACACCATACTTTGCCGCCAAAACTGATGACTTGTCGGTGACCACTGTTAGCAAATGCAAAGGAACGAAATTAACTTTCTTGAAATATTATTGCTACCTCTGATCACGAATTGATATGAGTAATTATATTAAATAGTTTTAAGGTTGTACAACTGTGTTTAAAACATATTTTAAAGCTTAATCAACAAATAACTTGACACCTCATTGATGAAACGACTCAACAAAACTAACAAAATAATATTGTGTTGATTTGATAAACCTTTCTTGTACATAACATCTTAGTAATTGACTGTTCAAGTAATGCCTGTTGTGATTCATCATTAAGTAACGAAAAATTTAAAAACACATCTAGCAATACTCATACTTGTCACCACAGCATGGTAAATATGTACTCTTAAGGTGATCAATTACAATTGGACGCTCCAGTCATCATCACACACACAATTGGTTAATATGATTAATTGAAGCGTCATATCGAATTCGATCACCACTTACCACCTAATGTATATTTACTGTCTTGTAGTGATCTACAACTACCACAACCACCATTCAAAAGTTATTGACAAATAAATGAACTGTTCTAAAGTTGCCTATACTCGTAGATGCATTTCTTACACAAGTGGACAGCGATGGGTTTCGGCAAAGTGGTAGAGCCACGGCCACAAATTAGATAAGCCTCAGGTGGGTTGTTGGAATACATATCGACAAATGGTCGCTCATGATGCATATTGGATTGGCCAAGGGAGAAGTGCAGACCGCCCGCTCCCCGTCTGTACACTATCACTTATAGTTGAGTGGACGGACTGTCAATTTAGCCTTGCATCTGGTGGAGCTCCTGTGATTTATAAATCAGTTAGATAGTTGAACTAATGTTGGTTACATGTAATCTACGTAAAGTGGAAACTCTTTTCTAGCCTAATAGTTGTAGCCAGTTTTGAATAAAATAGTTTAGTTCAATTAGGTGTACATAGCACACCATATTACCATTAAAATAACTCAAAGGTTAGTTATTGTGAACTAAAACACATTTTAAGACCCGTCTACTATAATACTCGTAGTAAAATTGTTATAGTTGATCCATTATATATGAAACTAAAGTTATTGGTATTATTACGATAGTTATCAGAAAGACTATACCGCAATTTCTTTTAAAGATCAAATAAATAATATGAAAGTATAAAAACTAATTCTTAAAAGAAATTATGCCCAGGAAATAGGCTATGTTTAACATTTCAAAATAATAAATTTTATAGATATTGTAGTTTATACTCATTCAGCAGTTGGAAGATAAACAATAACTATTGCAGAAATCTAACATTCTTAATTCTGCAGTCATTACAGTATATTCCTTTAAAAGTACACACATTTTATAGCGATTGAACCGTCAATGTACATGATGAACTATAAATTCATACTCGTACGAGTTTACAGATTGCACCTGGGCACACAACTGCTTGTTCCCTAGCTGCTTGGTTCAGACGATGGAAAAGTTAGTAAATGTAGTGACGAGGCTGTGGTTTTACCGTTTCGGCGTTTTGCCACAGATGGGGCACATTAAAGCCCTCGTCTTGGTTCGTTATTGTGATGTAAATCATCCCTGAACGGCGCTGGTAAAATTAATAAATACACAGCACGCCGTCGAACACTTACATGTTTAACAGGTGCGGCTTGTGTGTAAAATACACACTGAGTTCGGAGATTGGAAGTAAAAATATGACAAGCAGTCGGTTGGCTTATTGTGTAGCAAATATTGTAGTGAGAATACTTCACATACCAACTTTACTTTGGAAATGCATCTTTAAAGAATTATTTTGTTGGGTATTTGTATTCGCGTTTCCCGCCATGTTTCTGCCCTTGGCTACGAACTGTGCTACGTGTCAACTTTAACAATGATCAACAATTTTCTTGGCCCGGCACTCATATTGTTTTTATTCTATTTGGGTCTTTTTATTTGTCAAAAACTATTTAGCCACATTTTGTGCCTTGGATTCATAAAAAAGTCCAAGAAATAAAATCAGTTTAAATATTATAACCTCAATTTCTCAGTATTGGATAACACACTCCGCATATAGCGTACAATAACCGACAAAGTTCAAGCATCATACTCACGGATAAAATGTTATAACAGTTTGAAAAATATAAAACATCATAAGTTTTCATTTTAATTCAGTTTATGTTTAGATAGATGTATCAATTAATATCTCATTTTATAATATTCATTCTGGTACCATGAAAATAATAATGAATATTTGAATAGGAATACAAAATATGTTATAAAAATGTTCCAGTAAATAATGTTCAATTATTATGACGTTAAAAAACTTAACAATAAATAGAAATATGTTTATTTATTTAATTCGCAATTTTCATACTTATAAAAGACGAAACTAAATCATAGTTACCCAAACATGTTTTCATTCTCAGAAACCTAATGTGAAGCCTAGAAACGGATACAGTATACAAAATATTGTACACCAAGGTCTACTGGATAAAAGATACTCCTCATCAGTTTCAAGTCAAACTTACCAAAATTATTTATATAGCCGAGAGTGGTTATTTGTCAATGAGCATGCAACACCTGTGGTTTTTATTGTGTTGGTGGTACTATAGTGATGTAGATGTAGCAGCCACCCCAGCCACTTGTTGCTGCCAGTGTCGTAGTGTCGAGTATCGCGGGTAGTGTAGGGGCTGCGGCGGTGGCAGTAGCAGGTGTCCCACAGGGGTTGTTCTCACACAAAGCCCATGACGGCACCAGCATACCGGGACAAAGCATGCAGCTGGGCATTATCTGCTAAATCACATCACAACAAACAACAGACCATCATAGCAGATACTCGTACAGTGTGATTTGAATAGTTCCCTCTGTCTACAGGCTTCTGGTGTCAAATACGTTTACACAGTAATTGTAAAATAGTACCCGAAACAAATTATTTTACTAAACGTATAAGCATTATCTCAATTAAACACATCGACGTATTGATTTTTTTAATAGTCTCTTAGAGTCAAACATTAATTTTTAATAATTCAATAATTAATTGTTTAATTTTCTAACTATAACAAATTACGATTAGTAGCCCAAATTACAAGTGATTTAAATTTATATCGTTAACTCTACACTATGGCGACCTAGTTAAATGAAAAAATGAAGAAGAAATTACAAGAGAGGAAGTAGTAGAAAGTTTTTAAACGTCAAAAAGTTGTATTGCGCTGCGGACATGTGTCACGTGAGACGCGAGACTTGGAAGCCAAGTTGAGCTAATGGCTCCATTAACCTGCTGTAATTGGTCCAACTGTTATCTTGAAACCTCCAGATGCTATCAGAACCTTTCAGCTCCAGCTCGTAAAACTATATGTGTATTTTCAAACCGTTGCACTGGTTTTAGCTACGAACTATCCACACTGTCACTATCTATTATTGTCTAACAGAACATGTATTAAGAAATTTGAAAAAAAAATCACACTAAGTCCTCAATGCGGTATTAAACAAAACTGTATTTGCAAAGAATGTACTTTAAAACCACTAATACTAATATAAAACGTAAGTAAACCCTCATAGTGAAGTGCTGAAGATAGCTTACATACAAAAAGGAAATTGAATATGACATTCACCCAATAGTTTTGTGAACGCTTACTCAATACTATAGTTGTAGGGGGTTTATAAAGATGTTTTAAATGTTATTTTTGTTTTTGTTTGAGTGAAGGGTAATGTGCCCTTTTACTAAACTTTTTTGTTTTACTTAGAAACAACACACAATATCGATGTGTACCTATCGTCGAACTAAAACTATTTAAGTTTATAATAAATTAAATATATTTTTACTGCAATGGAATTCGAGTAATTGGGTTTTAAGCACTGTAATCAGCCTGAAACCCGAACAGGTAAACCCTCAAAGGAAGAGGTGCTCATTCCTTTGCATCTACAGTGCTTCCATCATCCAAATGATTGCTTGTGGGAAGCATTCATTATTAAATGAAATGTCGAGTGGCGAGTTTTCCAAAACATAAATATCAATTATTTGTCATCAGCCGAACCAAAGGTACCGATTTAAGTTGTACAACTACTCATTTCACGCAATGCGCCACTTGAAAAGTTGTGTCCGGTTATAAGCCTGGCCTGGCTCCTGTCTATCATTTACTAAACGCGGTTCGTGACAGAATCACTTAAAAGTGCCGTGTTCAAGGAAAGGGTGGTTCACCTCATCACTGTAATGGATCCGAGGGTAAGCCAGATATTTGAAGTTGGGGGATATTATGTACTCGGAGAGGAACTGTATTTGTGACACTAGTTAAGTCTACACGTTGAATATATGTGTATCTAAATTTAGATTGTGCTTTTCTCTCACTACTAACTTTACTATTTTCATTTTTAGAGATCTTAACACCTGAAGTTATTTAAGACTTTCTTTAAAGTGATCTGTTGCTATATTTAATGTCTCATTTTGAACATTTGCGATGTATTCACATATGTATTCAATGTACGAAGACGACCTTCTGCTTTAAGACACTTCTAGTTTTTCGAAAATAATCTATTGTGTTGTGATAAACAAGACCCCCTTTATTGAAATATAGAATTCTGTTTGGAACAGATGTGTTTGGAATATTAAAGATTATTTTGAACTGTAATAATAGATTCATTGATTTTAATGAATGATCTACGGCAAACGCGATGCTCCACGGATCCTGCACCTTGACTACTTGAACTGGAACTTGGCTCCAACGTACCCACCCGTACATTACATACCCATCACTTGAATCACACAATGGTGTTTCTGTTGCAGATCCCACATCACTGACAGGTCGCTCATGGAAGACCAACCCTCTGACAGGGCCAGTGGGGCGGAGCTCGGCGAGGCTACGACACTCCAGACACCTGCTGGGCCGAGGAGGCGCTCCCCACCTGCCCACCCCAGAGGCTCTCCTCGGCAGCCCCTTCGCCGACCTCTCGGGGACAAGTATCGTGAGTATAAGCCACCTGTCACCCAGCAACCCAACATGTGGTCAAATCATATGGCCAAGCTAAATCTTCCAGCTACTCCATACAATTTTGTTTCAATAATCTAGTCAATTGCTTATAACATAAAAATTTCAAACCAATTTTTAGTAGGATGATCTCCAATACATAAACAGACTTCCTCGCATAAAATACATGTATGTTTCCTTTACTTCTTACCTAATGCCTGGCCCCATAAGAGAGGCCTATACATATTTTCGAAAGTAGAAATCCATTAGGGAGGTGGTTAGATTGGTAGTCACGACAGTTTCTAGCTCGTGGTGTCTGATAGCTGCTTATCTTCCATACAACATTGAGTGGGATCCATTAACTGTGCCACCCACGTCATCACCGTGACGTCATCTGGTGATAGACACATGGGACGTTATAATAACATACATGGCAGAAACATGCACCAAGAACAAACGGACCAATAATGTATCTGGTTAGAGACAAATCATTTAGAAATTTGCCTTAACTATTCCTTATACGGTAACCTCGACTGAACCTCACAGTGATGCCTCAAAACATAGAGGAATACTTTAATACTTTGTATCTCTCGTTGAGTGTATTCTGTGCTCGCTGCGTAGCTCAATAGGAAATTATTCATTTTTGAGGATTTCTTTCTCTTATAACAAAGGGTCCAGTTTACAATGGGGTTTGATAAGGCTATACCTTATTTTGAAATATTCAAATATTTAAAAAGTTTTGTAAAGTAAAATAGTTATATATAGGATATTCTGACAGTTTAATCTCTTATTTCAACATGAATAAACATGTGTCAACATGAATAAATTTAATCTCTTCTCAGTTTTAATCTCTTCAGGATCAGTTACTTAAATTAAGTTGGACAAATATTTTGAATTATCTTATCAGTAACAACTAATACTTGCTAGTTAATTTTAAGCACATATACGAGTCAAGTGCAACGAAGAAATCCCTATCTTCTTAAGGTGTTCAGACTGACATGATCATCATTATTACTGATTTTTCTGTTTGGTGCAGATGGCCTGTAACGAACTAATTTTCTAAACGGACTTGGTTGTTCCACGTCGCTAGTTCACTTTTAAAAGTGTTTTGGATAACCCTTTTGTGTTCAAATTCATGTTTCTGTTATGTGATGAATATTGTATATTCAACTTTGTTCACTTGCGTACGATAATGTTGTTGTCATTCTAGGGTTTGGCCTGAATTGAGAACTCAGAGCTGTATAAAATACATGATAGCTGATAAATGGTATAGTTTCTAAAGTCAATAGTGTTTACGGAACGGATTTATTGTAACTATTTAATCGGTCTTACATCGGCTTGGAGCAGAAGTAAACCTATTTAAACCAATACAAACATTCGTTTTTTTTTTTTTTTTTTTTTTTTTTTTTTTTTTTTTTTTTTTTTTTTTGTAATGATGGTCGAGTATTTCGTTCATGATGATTTAATATTATTTTGCTAGTTTTACTATTTTATTGTTCGAAATGTTATTATAAAAATATGAAGGTCAAAGAATTGTTATTAGTTTACCTTGCTAGTGCTGAACATAACCTACATTGATCTTCCTCAATCTAAATTTACGTTTTTCATGCATACACAATTCTGGTGGTTACCACTATTTCAATGATACTTAATAAAATAAGAAATAATGAGGAAATCATTGTATCAAAAGTATTTATATTATGTCGTTATTTCTTAAAGGTTATAAAGGTATAAAGGAGCACATTCTACAAGCAATATTAAAAAAAAATCAAGTTACGTACAGATACATTATTCCACTTCAGTACTTTTCTTTTATTTCACTGTTTGGTAACTTTGGTTCGCTAACTGTGTGGCTAATCTACATAGGTGAAATTTAGTTAGTCAAATGTATATTCTGTGTAAATTACACTCTAGTTTAAACCACCTCCCGCTACAACTATCTTCAGTCACCTTATGTGCCTTATGTATCATATCCAGGATGGCCTCTTCCCACTTATAAAATCCTGACCAAGTTTTTGTCGTTTGTACTCTAATATGTAACAACAGATGTTAGTTAAATCATTATATTTATGGAACCATTGAAATTATTCATGTTTGTAAACCGTAGGCTTAGATACAGTGATGACATTAATCCTGTTAACGTGTTCGCATGTGCCCACTCGATCATTTCTCATAACCAGCAATCAATTTAAACCACATTTAATGTGATAACATGTAAAAGGATTCGAGAATAGTGATTCAAATCGTCCGCTATCTCATGTGACGATTGAATGCATAAATTGCATTCGAGGGAAATTTGCATAATCAAATATAAACCGTTTATAACTTGTTACGTTTAGTTTAAATATGCATTCACCGTTCCACCACTGCAAGGAATTTTGGTATAAAAACCTAAATAAATTGTTTTATTTTGATACGGCTATAGTATTTAAACACCACAATCTATAGCATACAAATATACTGTACTGCATTTCGGCACACTTTAAGTAATGAAACTAATGCTATCCGGTTATTATATTGCATCACATTTAACTATGTTTTAGCATCATTTTCCATATTGGGAATAAGCAATTACTCCGGGACCGATGTACTTTTTTATTTTGATGTCTGCAGAAGTTAAAACCATCGATGTATAATACTCTACAGTTATTTTGTTTTATCTACAGTTATAATACTCTACAGGGAGTTATTATACATCGATGGTTAAAACACCATCCATTCAAATTCATAATCATCCAGTCTTGATGATTTTCTTACAAACGTGTAAGCCTACATTTATTCAAATGAGTTCGGAAACTAGCATGATCGGTCAATCGAAACGGGATTTTGTCAATATTGAAGATTTATAAAAAATACGAAGCCGAACCGGGACTTTTTGAGCACTCGGTATATTATGCCATAATAGTAATAGGTTTAGTACTGTTAAAAGTTTTTTTTTTACAAGGATCAATTCTTTACTCAGAATTGTTTATTCAAATCCCAATGATCGAGTACAGTTTTACTTTAATCTATCAAGAAGAAAATCGAACCAGCGACTTATGATTGCTACGTGGGCTCTGTAACCACACAGATACCTAACTACAGTACTTAAGTACTGTATTAACTAATACCTGGCTATTTTAGAAAATATTACTAGAATCCTTTTTTATGGTTACAAATTTTAAAATGTTGCGAATCATCGTTCGACCCTGTTGAGATGAAGATGTGTGTAGCGTGTTCGGATATAGAATACATTTGTAGGTGTCCGGTGTACGAAGGGGCATAAATCTGTCCATACAAGAGTGATAAGGATTGGGGGGATTTATGAAGGTGCAATTCACCCCCCCCCCCCTCTCCCCCCTAGAGTCATCTCGGACATATTGTCAGGTGTATTCGTCTTACTCAGTGACTCAGTTTTGTCACTCTTGGCTTCACTCGTCAAATATCGAAATTTTATTATTGAATATTTTAAATTGTGTCTTTTTTACTTGTGTTTAGCAACTTATAATTACCCTACACGTAAAAAATCGTTCGGACGTACTAAAACTTTTACGCGGATTAAGTTTTAAAATAAATAATTGTATGTTTGTTCAACATATTATGTATAACTTGGGCCTCATAGAATCAAATCCTGTCAAATCTATTTAATATTTATATTATATTTTCTCATTATATATATCAAAGACTTTTATTTTAAGTATTCATTCTTCTTCTTATCAATGATATCACGAAACTTCAAACTACAATCGCTTATAATGCAACTTTCATATTAAAATAAATATGAATTTTAAAATTAAAGTTCTTACTTCTTATATGTACCTTTTTATGGTAACAATAGAATTAATTCGCTAAAACACAGTCATGTTCATATTCTCAGAACACAATACTGTACATCAAATTCTCTTCGTGCAAAAGTTAGCTTATGTTCCCTGTTCAAGAATAGAGTCTTTAAGTCAGACTGTAAAATAAAGGCTCTGTTTGCTTGCGTTGTAAAGTTTATAACTGAAATAAACATAAGAAAGGGGCATAGCAATAAGTTTTTGTGATTCTCGTGAAAGAACACAGTTTGTTTGGTTAGAACAGAAAATAGTAAAGCGGATACCGTGCAATACCCAGTAATCCAGCGGATGTTTGGAACATTTACCGTATACACCTTAAAACCGCCCCCCGTTATAACACGTGTTAGTGTGAAAATATTTACTCCAAAAATATACTGTATTGTTATTATCCTTATTTGATCATTGATATCAATGTTGAAATTTTGCGAGGCCCACCGTCCTATAGTTTATGAATTTTAATCTAGTTATTCTTTCTTTGTGAAGACGATCCTGCCTGCCAATTATATGTATCAGGTTTTTAGCAATTAAACATTTCACTTGTTGTGGGCACCAATTTCTTTTATAAATTAAACGTATATGTTTATATGTGTCAGTGTTTCCCTGTCACATACATAACTATATACTGTACCTTTTTGGCTACGTACGAAACTTTGTTGCGGATTGTGGATCGTTTTGTAAAAATATGGAAGTACATAAAATCAACTGCTTCAATAATGAAGTCATACAGTTAAATTAACATTTAACAGTTAATACACATTTAATACATTTAAAGTAACCAAACCATTATTTTAGAGGGAATCTCGGAAGATAGGGGTACTTGAAATATTTACGAAATAAACTTGAGAAGTAACTCGGTCTGGAAAACTATCCTCTATAAATTGTCCTGCAGTTCCTTGCATCGCCCGGGTCGACGCAACGGATTACACGGTTTGCATTTACATCTGATATTAAATAAGTAAATCGGAAACACGCAAATATTGGCAATCTCCTACGAGTTAAAAATAACAAACAAAACTCATTATACATAATATCATGTATACACAGCTAAGAGTTGGCACTATTTTTGTACCGATGAACGAGCAATCATAATTTCTACATTTAAATAACCTACTATATATGCTAATACAAATTTCATTTGAAATCTTGTGCAATCGCAACTACTGTTAGATAAAAATTCCAA